ATAACCTATCCAAAAAAGAAAAACATCAAATAATCGAATGAATTTACCGAAAAAACAAGATACTATGCTTTTTGTAAGAGAAAAGCTGATTGCAGTCAAAGATTTGAAAAATGGATCAAAACCATGAAGAAAAATTATCACGGCTAAACGACTAATAACTTTGAACAACTTTTGAAAAGAATATGCAAAAATTATTTCTTTTTATGTAGGAAACATTAACAGTATCGGTTACAATATACACTTTTCTTTTTCACGAATGATTATCATAGACAATAAAAGTTTGAACACATGAAAGCTCAACATTTTATTCAAAAGGAAGAAACAACTTTAAATACTAACTAATTTTTTCTGCAGTTTTCTCATAGTTTCTGAAAACTTACCGATGTCCTGTTTTTATCCAAAAAACTTTTATTGAAATATAATAAGTTTTTAATAACTTAATGATTTTTTGTTCAATGTCTGTGCAATAAATATAACGATGGTATAAATATGAAAACTTAAAGTACACTCGATTGTTCAGAATAAAATGTGTTGCGATAACAACATGAACAGCATTCATAAAACGACAACGATACATCAATTAAATCAAAAAGTACATCAAGTTTATTTGATAGACGTGGAAGAATATATGAAGCACAAGCATTCAGAAACAAAGTTTTTTAAAAGATCAATCACATTGATCAATTACCAGCAGCTGTTTTAAACATAGGAAATGTTGTTATTTCTATCGCTATTCGCTTAATTATAATGCTATCGATCAATATAATATACAATAATTTATAAGTTTCAATAAGTTAAGTTGATATTCATCTCTTAAATAATCAGTTTGAATACTTTCACTATTAGATGATGTCATTGAAAGAATTAAAATTTTACTTGTGTTTTTTTAGATGAAATGGCCAGAACTCTTCCTTTTTTATTTTGTTAGTTTTAATATCATCGCCAGCAAAGAATGCTTTTAATCCAGGACTGATAGTAATAACTAATTATCTTTTTTTAATCTGATTCGCTTTCCCAAATAGTTTTTTAAACTAAAACTTACGCAATCTGTAGCTTTTATCCAAATAAGACTGCAAGCATTTTTTTCTAGAGCTACTGTGAACGTAAAATGATTGTTGATTTTCCAAAAGAAAAACGAAAATTTAAGTGCATTGTGTAGGACAGCTGCTCGTCTACAAGCTGATAAGTACATAAAGATCCAAACAAATTTTTAGAGCTTTTCAAAGATTTTTTTTTACTACTCGCGAACAGAATCTGAGACAAAATTTTTAAGTCCCATACTTAAAAAGAATATAAAGTTTCGGCCCTAATCTATGGAAAATACTTCGTAGTGGATCAAAAATACATAAACATCATATCGACTATACTACGTGTAAACATTAGAATTAAAGAAAAAATGACATACTATTTTGTTTAATTATTCTCTATGAAAGACTGTTACCGTTCCATTTGTCTTATCTAACAATAGAATACTGATTCTTAGATGTTCCAATTGCGAGTAAAAAAATAAATAAATAAAATATATGGCGGCTTTTATATTTAATTAAAACTCAACTATAAATTATGGTTTTTGAAGAAAACAGAACAATTATCGAAGGAAGATGATAGACAATCAAGTAGATCGTAAATTAATAGAGAAAAAGCAGAATAAAAACGATCTATTATTTTATAATCTTCAATTTAATTTATGTGAATTACAAAATGAACAACGTGAGAGAAACATTAAGGTATGTAGATAATCAATCAATATTACTAAAATACTTTTTTTTCTATTTTAATCAGAAACGAAACAATTATTTCAATCGAAAAAATATCGATAAAAACAATTTTTGTCATAATGAAATTGATCAAATTCTCAATCAAACAGATTCATTGGTAGTTAGTATTGGATTAATTTTATAATTCTATTGATTTTATTTTCCAGTCACATGAATACAATCAATTATTAACCAACTCTGATCGTTTATGGATTATTACTCATATTCAAAGTAAAATTTGTTTTATTTATACAATACAGTTTTTTTTACTTTTTGTTTTCTATAGATCGACGGCGAGAACGAAAAAGTTTACAAGATTATCTTCGAAAAAATCATGAAATATTTACATTACAAGTAAATATAAAAAATAAATTTCAATAAATTATTTTTTTTTTTTGAGAAAAGTATACTCTTAATATCAAACATGATGAAATTGAACATTGGGAAAATCATTTACGTCAAGAAGAAAGTGCATTAGCTAAAGCTGAAAAACATATTGGTGAAGATTTAACTTTATTTGATCAATTTCTTGATGCATGTAATCGAAATGCTAATGATGCAGTTTTTCGGTATTTTTCTAATTGTTTCAAAAACATTTATTAAATAACTTCTTTTTTTTTTAGAGTTGATGAAGAATCACGTAAAAAAGATGAATTAGTCAATGAAATAAAACGATTACAAAAAACTCTTATTAGTTATCATAATGATAAGAATCATTTGACAGATACATTAAAACAATCACGTCGTTATCAACAATTTCTTTTTAAATTTGCACCTAAAGTGAGATTTTCAATAGATTTTTTTTAAAATTAATTGATGCATACATAGGAATGGCGTGTTAATATTCTCAAACAACTGGAATTCACACGTAAGATAACAATATTCATGCTCTTGCTCGCGAAATAAGGACGCTCTCTGAATTGTTCCGGTGGTTTTCGATTGTTTTTCACCGGAAAGAATAGAAAAATCTCCGATTCGAAATTTTCAGCATTGAGTTCTATTAGATCTCCGGTGAAACAAAATATCTTTACCGTGATTGAGACAGAAACATTACGGCATTATTATAGATATCGAAAATAAACCTATGGACAATATTAAATCTTCAACAATAACGTCTGTATAATTATTTATCTATCTTCTTTAATATTTCTGATCTCTACTAAGGTCTACTGCTATTGAACAAAACGATATTGAATTTTATAATGATTCTAATATATTTACCAATGAAGTATAACTTTCATAAATAATCATTACAACTAATTAATGTGTTTGTTTTTATTTTCTCATAATAACAAGAATTATTCACTTTATTTTACTAAACCTGAACAATTACTTGATATATTCACTGAAATGGAAGAAAAATCTTTACCACTTGTTGAAAAAAGTCAATATACATCGGAAATTCTGGATAAAATACATTCAACAATAAATAATACAATTACTGAACAAAATCATGAAGTTGAACAACTTCAAATCCAAATAGATCAATTAGAACAATTAGTTAAATATGAAATTGAACGTGAAATTTCTTGTCAAAATACACTCATGTATATTTTTCTTTGGTTCAAACAAAATTTATATTTTTTCCATTCATTATTATTTCTAGACACTATAAAAATGAAAAAAATGATCCATTTATTGAACAAATAAAACAATCTATTGAAATTTTATATAAAAAACATGTTATTTCTGATGATATTGGTATATCAACAATTCATATGTTACAAACAATTGAAAATAAAATAAAATCTTTATTAAATACAATTGAACAAATGGATTCATCTTCCATCATGGAAGCTGAAAAAGTATTTTGAGAAAAAATAAAATAAAATAAAATATTCTTTTATTATATTTTCTAGTTTCGTGAAATTGCTATTCGAACAATAGAACGTCAAGAAAAACTTCGACAAGAAAAACTAATGAACGAATTAAAACATCAAAAAGCATTCCTTCGAACATCAGCACCACCTTATCCAAAAGTATTGTATATATATGTATATAGTAAACTTTCAATGTATCTTTTTTTTCTTTGTTCAGATCGGTAGAATAATAATGGAACGTTCACGTCCATTATTAATAAAAAAACATCCAATAAAACAATATTCAACTATTAATAAACAAGAACAATTAATGAGATTACTTGAAAATTAAAATGATATTTGTGTGAGATTTGTTGATGTTTGATTGCAATTTTGTTCATGATGATGATGATGATTATGATTATAAACATCGCTTAGAAATGCATGATTTATTAAATCTTCAGCCGTTGGACGCTGATGATAATCTTTTGTTAAACATGTATCAATAAATTCTCTAGCAGAATTAGATACATTGTCTGGTAATTGATATCTGAAATAAAAAATATTAAAAAAAAAATAATAAAATATAAAGATTGATTTAAAAATCTTTACTGTGGTTTATCACAAGTAGCTATATGAAATATTGCAGCTATTGGTTGAAGATTTTGCCATGGTGGACCCGTTGTTAACACTAAAAAAAAAAGTTCATTATTTAAGAATAACTAACATAAAAAGTTTTACTTACTTTCAACAACTGTACAACCAAGACTCCTGAAGAAAAAACAGAATTCATATTGAATAGATAATTTTGAATTTTTTTCTTCTTACCATATATCTGCTTTACGTCCAAATATACTTCCTTGTATTATTTCAGGTGCTGTCCAATGAGCTGTACCTATAATAAAGAAATAGATTCTTGAGATTTTTCTCTGATTAATTTATTCTCATTCAAGACACTATTTAACTTTTCTTTTCATTGAAATATGAACATTATATGAGAATTATGTTTTTGTATCTCTTTCGAAGACTTAAAATTAACTTGAAAGCTAAATTTATTGAAAGGCTTCTCATCTATGAATGAAAATGATTAAAACATTTTTACATGTGAATCTTATATGAATTGCAGTAAAAATCTGTCTTTGGTTAAAATTCATATAATAATTTTGGTTACGCATTTCTTTTTCAAACAATTTGTCTCAAAAAACAAAAACATTTTGAATATTTGCCGTTTATTTTTGTGATGATTTCGATAAATAATTAAAAATCTTCATAAAATTATTCTTTGATTTATTATGAATTGATATATAATTTCGTCTTTCTCTTACCAATAGTTCCCGAATCTGGTTGATTTTGATTTGTAATAGCAATCAATCTTCTTGATGTACCAAAATCAGCTAATTTGATATTACCTGAGATATCTCTCAAAATATTTGCACCTTAATTTTAAATAGAAATAAATTATGATTTTGTTTTTATTTCTATTAAATTCATTTACATTTTATATCACGATGAATAAATCGATTTTTATGTAAATAAATAAGACCTTCAAGTATTTGTTTCGTATATTTTTTTGTTAATTGTTCTGTTAATGCACCATAATTTAATATTTGTTCACGTACTGATCCACCGGTCATATATTCCATAAATATTTGTAAATAATCTTCTGTTCTTACAGCACCATGATATCGAACAATACGTTCATGATTTAATTGTTTATATATATTTATTTCACATTCAAGTATTTTCACTTCCTATTCATATTGATACTAATATAATAGTAATCGTTGTTGTTATTACAGTCCGAAACAAAAGTAACTGTCCTTCATGAAGTCCTCTCATAGTTTACATGTACTAGAATTATGATTCAGACATTATCTTTCTTTTATGATTATTTCAGCTCATCTATATTAGCACAAATATTTTCGTCGAACTTCTCATTCATAGTCCGATATCCTAGCTATCTCTTTAAAATAATTGAGATATTGACTTCTTTCTATTAGCACTAGAGAGAAAAAGCATGTAGCCATTTGTGAAATAGCAAAATGTCAAACAAACAAAAAAAAAAAAAAAAACTTCTTCGGCGCATATTTGCGCAAAAAGAAGAACATGTGAACTAATTCAGAGTGAGTTGGTGCTTCATCAGTTCAATATTATAAAGACTAGTAGCATTTCATGAGAGAGGAAAGAAGGTTGATTACTTTTGTTCAGAACTATATTGAACTTACTCGAGATGTTTCTGAACTAAGTCCACGTATAGGAATTTGTTTAATTGCTAATTCACTACCAGTATCAACATCATAGCAAAGAAAAACTTTACCAAAAGCACCTAAAAAAAAAACATTTTCAATAATATAGGTTTATATAAAAAAAAAACAATTTATTGAAAAATTTACCTTGTCCTAATTGTCGACCTAATTTCCAATTTGAAGGTGTTTGAGGAGCTTCAAACATAAATAAATAAATCAATGACTATAATAAATAATTTTCATTGAATTTATTTACATTTATAATGATGACCAGAACATGAACATTGTGTATAAAGAGATTCACTAGAACTTGAACTTGTATTAGATGAATTACTACTTGAACTAATCGCACTACCACCACTTGCAGTCGAACCTGTTGCTGTACGTTTTACTAAATAACTACCTTGAATTAAAAAGAAATAATTGTTTTTTCATTAAAACTTTATATCAGTGTCTCTCCTCCGAGGATCATTTTGATCCTCCTAAAATAGATAATTATTGTAGCACGTACTATGTGTCTATGCTTCGAAAAATAGATACTCGTCTTCAACGAGTTTTACGTCATTCTTTCGGAAAAGAAAATTTGGATAAGATACTACTAAATATTTACCTGGTAAACGTCGCCGTGTACTATTTTCACTACTACTTGATTCTCGACTTACTACTGATGAACTTCCACTTGAATATACATCATCACCCTATGACAAAAAAAATGTATCTTGAAATAATAAATTTTTCAATTAATGAAACAAACTGATTCTGGTATAAATAATCCACCATCTTTTGGTATTGATGATTTACTAGTTGTATTTTTTGTTGTACGTCGTTTTTGTGTTGCTATAGTACCTGGTGGTGGTGAATCTAGACTAGTATCATTAACTTCAGTTGGTTGTCCATCATCTGATATTGAACCTGAATCATATGGATTTTCTTTTGTTTTCAATTGACTAGGACTAAATCCATTTTTTCGTATTAATAAAAAATTAAGTTTCGTTGCTTGATTTGTTTCAGCTATAGCTATAACTTTATTTAAATCATCATCATTTGTTATTGGTAAACGAAGAGCATCATCACGTGAAAATAAACATAGAATTTTATCAATTGATATTAATGTATGATTACCAAATAGATTTTCAATAGATTTAATTAGATCAGAATAATTAAATGGTTTTGCTAAACAACATGCTCTTACTTGACCATCAAGTTCAAATTTAACTGTCTAGATGAAAACAAAAAAAAAAAAGAATTCTTTAATATTATTTATAACAATAGAATTACTTGTTCTCGTGGTTTTTTTCGTTCCATAGCTTGTTGTAAATTGGCTTGAATTGTTGCCAATACATCTGATGGAGTTGTCATAATAATCTAAAATAGTAATCATATAATTGATTATAAAAAAAAATCAATAGACAAAATACAATACTATGAAATTTCTATCTGTGTATTACTATATCATTTGACAGAGAATAGGTCGCCATGGATTTAGTGCTAGTCATAATCCAAATATACACAAAAAAGAAAAAAATAAAAAAAACTTCTAAAATTCAACATAGAAATGTAAAAGTGCAAAAATATTTTTCGTCACCGATTTAAAAAAAAAAAAAAAAAAAAAAAAAAAAAAAAAAATCAAGTATTACATATTGAAATCAAATGTCGTCGTTATATTTGTCGACTTACAAAAACACATGGAAAGACAATAGAACGAAAAAAAACAAAAAAAAAGAAAATAAAAATTTCTTTACATATTTTTCTTTTTCTATACAAATTCTCTGTCAATTGACATTTTTTTTTTGTTTTGCTTTGATTCCTGCATTGCAAACTTGTATTGAACATATGATTGTTGTTAAATTATTTCGTGATGATTTCGATAATCATGAATTTGATGAGAAATCTTTTCATCTTCGATTATCAACTAGATAGTATTGGTAAATGAAAAATTATTACGTATTAATATTGCACCATTGAATAATTTATATTTAAATAATGGATCATTTTGTCTTTTAATAAACTATGAATAATCATACAAGTTATACTGACTTTACTCTATGAATCAAATGTATTGTCAATTGTTAAGTTTGTATAGGTTTTCGTCAAATAATTTATTCCATATGAATTTTGAAGAGAGTAATAAAAATAATGTATTAAAATAAATATTCCTATTCATAACATCAAATAGAATTGTACATACAATAATAATATGAAAAGAAACAGATTTCTTAAATTTTAATTCTTTATATTACATATAGATATGAAATATATAGTTCAGCAAACGAGACATCGAAATATAAACCTTGATGGATGACTAACTATTTATTATAATAAGTACTAATAGTATTGAATGAATAAAAAAGTAAAGAGATAATGATTTGTATTAAAAATAATTTGATAAATACCATTTTATTCATTACTAATATATACAAATACATCTATTTTTTGATAATATTTGACAACATATTTAAAACTTGATTATAGCCTATAGTTTATTATTTTCAAATAATTGTTTTTTTTTTATAGAATCTATAATTAAAAACATTATTATAATATTTGAAAATCATGTTCATTAATATGTGATTGGATCAATTTTGTTTTTTTTTAACAGATAATAATTAACATTTATAAATCATATCATTTAATGTATTTCATAACGAGTATATTCAAATGACGTCATGTTAACTTAACTATTATATTTACAATAGTTATATTTATCATTATTATACATGATATTGTTAAGTTGTTATATCTGAATTTGGACAAATAAATATTGAGTATAAATTCTGACGTACGTTAAATTTGTTGTTATTTTCCTTTTGTCAAGTTATAATATAAGCATTGTAGTCATGGTTCACTGATTTTACACTTGTTTTTCTTTCGTTATTTTATCGTTTTTAATATTTATATATGTACTATTTATCAAATACATACTTCTATGTATTTTAACATGTAGGAACATTGTCATAATTTTCTTTTTGTATGATAAATAACAAATAAATTCTAATGCTACATCAAATAATACGAAATAATCAATCATTTTTTTCTTTTATATCTTAAAAAATGATAACTAGAAGTTTGTAGTCACTTTAAAGTATACCTGAATATGTTTTTGTATATCAAATATTGTCTATCGTCTTTTTAGTAAAAAAAAACAACCTTGTCGACCTTATTCGATCATGTCCTAATGATTGTTTTTCGATTGAAAAATGTACAAGAAAACAAAAACATGTTTGTTTATATGAAACATAGAACAAAAGTCTTCTGAAAAAAAGAAAAATCTGTTTTACATAATATTTTGACTATAAGTATATGGTTAACACTTGTGACTAAAAAGAAAATCTATAAATTGTATAATGAAAAAATGTTCTATTTTATATGATTGTAACCAAGGTTGATTTATTCTCACAACATAAGCTTACTTATTTAGATAATTTGTTTATATTTAAATGTACTTTTATTTTATTTTTATACGAACAATGAAAACTAACAATTGATGAATATAATTTGAATTTGATTGAAAAATAAAAACATCGATATGAATTATTTGCAATAGCTATTATTCAAAGTATTATTTGTTTTTTTGTTGCACTACCGATTTAGACGTCCTTCTTCTTTCCACACAGGCATGACAGACCTTGCTGATATACGATCAAAGATGGTATATCAATAATGTCTTGTTATAATATATGGACTACTTTCTAAAGACGAAACTAAACCAAATGTGTCTTGAGATAGATATAGTAAAATAATTTCTCTATGATTAGTAATAACAACTACGTCATAGTTAACATTTAATGTTTTTTTTTTTCATCTTGTAAGAATTTGATGAAAGGACATATGTCGAAAAGACTTTTTTCATAGATACGAATGTTCAATTTATTATGATAATCTTTAAAAAGAAAATGAGTTTAAAATTGAAGTTATCATAAATATTCTTCATTGATGTATTACAAAATGAATACATTCCAGAAATTGATATTGTTCATTGAATTTTTTTTGCAAAATATGTTAATAATTGTTGTGTTAGATAATCAAATAATTGATCAGCAGGAGTTCGTATTTCATTAGAACTATTTATCATTTGTTCATATGCCATATATATATATATGCATAACATTAAACTGTTAATCTTATCTCTTTTTAAATAACTTCATTCTGATGTTTAACTTCAAACAGTAGGACGTTTTTTTTTTTTGTTTCTTTTCAATTTTTCATAGAAAAAAAAAAATAATAAATTGATTTTGAATTCAGTTCATATGACTTCTATTGTCAATATAACAGTGAATATGAATATCAGAAGAATGTCAACTTGAAAATGAAATTGATGAGAAAAAAAAAAACCACTTGAATCAAATGTATTCCTTGACCTTTGTCTTATAAGTGCTTTAATTGACTCATCGATAAAAATCTCGTTAAAAAAGAAAAATACTAAAATCAATTAGGTACATAATCTATTGCATAAGTATAAACAATAAATATATGTTTTAATCACAACAGATTTATTTTGCTATTATGATGATAGAGTTCATTGGGTTAGTTCCAAATATTGAAAATTTTGAACTTAATAAATTTTCTCTTGATATGTACAATTTATGTTTTTTTTTTGCTACACCTATACATTTAAGTTTATTTCATTTGTCAAACTGTTAATATATATATATATAATAAAATATAGACAATACCTGAATATTACAAGACAAGAATATAATTACAAAGAAGAAAACAGAAAAACAATATATATATATATATTTTTATTATTTTAATATTATTAAATTAAATGAGTTAATGTTGTTGTTGTACTGTCGGTATCTTTTCGTGTTGGTGTTGTTTCAATTGTAACTGTTGTACTTCTATTATCATTATTATTCTTAGTTAAATAAACTGCTGTGGAATTTTGTTGTCGTATGTTTTGTATAAAATCCTATAATAACAAATTAATGATTATCATTAGATAAACATATAAGATTATGTATATTATCTGTATCATTTAAATAGTTACATCATATAAACACCTCATGAGCCATTTATCCTTACATATACATCAATGAATAAATCATCTTTTATGTCATGCACATGTTCTTCTCAATTATTTACATAAGACTTTTCTATGCTAGAGACAAAAATATGAATGAATAGAGATTTAAATATTTCGTCTAGGTTGAATTCGAATTAGACAAAACGAAAACTAACAGATTTGTCTGAAGTTGTCAAAAACTTATGAGACTAATTGAATAACTTTTACTAAAATTGATCGAATTGAAGAGCAAAAAAAAACGATTATCTACTTATTCTTTGAAATTTTTTCAATATGTATATATCGATTGTAAAATTAATGAAATATTTCAACAACTTACTGATGAAAGAGCATCTCCATTAGTTCTTCGTATATGATAAAAATGTCGAAAACGATTACTTTCATCAGGAATAATCTTTTGTCGAAGTGTATCTCGTTCATAATGACGACGAATTTTTTTTAAATTTGCTGTTCTATAATGTTTTCTGCCTGAACTTATAACTAAAACAAAAATAACAAAAAAAGAAAATTTCAGAAAAAAAAAAAGAACGAACCTATTTAAAATTTTCATATCTCTAATATTTCTCTTTTACATCAATTAACTATTCAAGATTCTAATGTTATCTTTCATATCAATGTTAAGTATACATAAAACATATCCGATCATAAAAGAAAAAATGTTCAAGGTCAATACATTCTCATGATGATAATAAAAAAAAAGCAAAAGATATATTCTACTAGAAAAACAATAAGTAATTAGACATGCTCATATAAATTAATGAAGAGAAGAAAAGTAAAAGAAAAAAAAAACAAAACATTAGATATTTATTCATACTTTTATGCCATGAATCTCTATGATCATAATTTTTTCCTGTACATGTATATTGTATAACAATTGAAAATAACATTATTATAGGTAATATAAAAACAATAATCCAATGATGTATACATGATAATTGTTCTTTTTCAAATAAAAGACGTTTATGTATATAATGAAATAAAATAGATAATTGAAGAAAATAATCTAATACAAGTATTTGACATACACCAGATAAACATGATGATATAATAATAATCATAAATTTTTGAAAACGTAATGTTAATATTGAACATATTATACCTAAGATTAATATTAAACCAATAATTAACCAAAATGATGTTATTATACCATTTTGTGAATTTTTAATATCCAATATAATAAATATTATTATTGATAAAATTAAACCAAAACAAAAACCATTTATAAATAAACCAACATATTGTAATAATATATTAATTAAACCAAATAATATAGCTATTGAACATGATATACTTATTAATTGTAATTGATTTATTGTTGGTTGTGTTGATAAAATAATATAAAAAACTAATGCACTAAGACCAAATGATGTTAAAAACATAGTTAAACGCCAACAACGATAACCTATTAAAAAAAAAAAAAAAAAAAAATTTTTATTTACAAAAAAAAAAAAATATTATTTTTTGTTTACCAAATAATCCATAAAATAATCCAACACATGCTAATGATATATAACCAATTAATCCATGTAAATTATAATTTATAGGTAATTTTAAATCACAATATTCAGTATGATTTGTTAGATCTTTCATTATAATCTAAAATAAAAGAATTTTGAAATATCTACACTTCTTTTTTTCATCAAGGTTAATCGATAAACCAGTATGTCGTGTAATCTTTGAATATATCTCTAATGTGTATATACACACATATATATACGTAAGACGAAGCAAAAAAAAAGAAAGAAAAAAAGGAAAGATTAGTAAACACAAATGTTTGATTACATCATTATTATTTGATCATGAAAAAGACATAATGAAGGAGAGAACTAGCAACGAATGACAAACATTACTCTTTCTATTCTATACTTATAATCGAATCTATTCAATAAGAATTTGCATGGAAATCGTTGTGGCTATAGTAACATATTTCCTCTTCTGTCTGCTATTATTAGACGGGCGACAAGATTCATGTCTATTTTTTTTTCTCGCTCTCCATTTTCTGCCATCATCTCTCAATTATAGTGGTTATGAACGATAGGAAAAAAAACTGAGAGAGAAAAAAAAGTCAAGAATAATCACAAGCAAAAGAACGAAACAGCTGATAGAGTGGTTGACCTCCCTCTCTCTCTCTCTCTTTCTTATGAAAGTTCACATGTATAAAGAGAAAAAAAAAAGAAAACGAAAGTTTTAAATGTGGTCATTAATGTTCTCAGTACATAGTTATGCTTTGAAATCTATTTTCAATATGAGAATATTTCATACGAAAAGTAATGAGAGAGAAACTTCTCTTTTTCTTGATATTAAAGAATCTTTAGTTTTTTTTTTTTTATTGTCAATAAAGGAAATGGCACATTTCCGAACTTGGAACGGAAGTAGATTAAGAATGCATCATTTTGTGATTTTTTTTTTAGTTTTTATTTGAAGAATTAATTGAACAATGAATCTGATATCATTTAGATTAATATTTTAACGAAAAAAAAAATTTTTTTTTTTGAACAGAAATGATGCAATGATCATAAGATCAATTGAAATAATATCTTGAATACAATAAGACATATAACATATCATATAATTCTTTTAATGTTCACAAGTAGAAACGATATATATACACATTAATATTCAAAAGTCGTTTCAAGAATGATATCTATTAATAAAACAAAAAAAAAAAAAGTATTTACTTAGCATAACACTTAAGATTTACATAATGATGTAACATAGATTAACAATATTTATATGCAAGTAAATCATTTTTAGGTTAAAAATAATGCTAAAGATAAATTTCAAAAGTTCACTGAACAAAAACAAACTATAGAAGTGTTTATTTCACGTACAACACCTTTTCATTTTTTTCAATGATTGTTTATTAGTTTTCTTTTTTTATGTTTGAAAACAAGTAAAAGATTACCGCCAAGTTAAATAGATTTTATACTTCGATGAATCATAATGATGTTAATAATTGTTGTCTTATTAGCTATTCGATTTTCTAATATTGGTGAGTTAAGATGTTTTTTTTTTTTTAAATAAAATTTTGTATTTCTTAAAATTAATCTATAGACACTTGCCCAATATATTGTCAATGTTATTCTGCATTTGATGGTAAAAATTTAATTTCATTTTGTTTTTATTTCTAAGAAAACTTTCTTTTCTTTTGTAAGGTTATCATGTAACATGTCAAAATGCAAAACTTTATGAAATTCCATATAATTTAATAAAATTTCTTCAAAAAACTCAACATCAAAAATTAATTATTGATTTAAGTTCAAATTTTCTTTCAATAATACCATGTGATTTATTTCAAATATCAACAATAATAACATTAATATTAACAAAAAATTCTATTGAATATATACCATGGTGTTTTTCACAATCATCAATACAAATACTTCGATTAAATCAAAATCAATTACGTTTTAATCAAACAACAATTTTATCAAGTTCAAAATTATATTATCTTGATATTTCACATAATAAAATATCAACATTACCACGAACATTTTTTAATTATATTCGACATCTTCGTATATTAATATTAAATGGTGAATTAAATTTATTTCAATTAAATAATGATCAATGGTTACGTTCATTAACAACAAGAAATCAATTAAAAATAATAATATGTGATGAAAATTTTCATTTACCATTATGTTTATTTAATTATTTATTTCAAACAAATAAATTATTATCAATTGAATTAAATTCAAATATATATTGTGATTGTTCATTTGTTTATTTAACATTAAAAAAAATTCATTTTCATTATTGTCAAATTCAACAACAAGAAGGAAAATGTAATCTTCAAACATCTTATTTTATACATAATTATTCATTAATTAATTTACAAAATGATAAATATCGTCAAATATGTTTTAATGAATATCAATTTTGTCAAAATATACAATTAAATCAAAATTATCAATTGACAACAAATAATTTTAATTTATCATTAAATAATAATCAGACGAAATCATTATTATTTATTAATAATTCATCAATAATAACAACAACAACAACAATAATAACTATGATTAGTACAGTAACATTTTCAAAGAAAGAAAATATAACCGCAGGTGCTATTATTCCTTTTATACTTGTTTTAATTATTATGACAATAGTCTGTCTTTATGTTATTCTATCTGGACGTATTATTAAAATAAAAAATCGAGAATCAATTAAAGATTTTATTATTGAACAAAAAAAACAATCCAATATGTCAACTATTGTTACAAGTGGTATGAAAAATTTTCATTCGATAGAAAATAAAAGATTTCTAACGAAATCATTTGCATTATTAAAAATTATTATAGTTATCTGTCATTCATATTAGATTCAAGATTAGTTACTAATAGAAACATTCTTTTTTTTATCGCAAACGGTTACTAGTTTATATAACCTTGAAAATCTTTTTTTTTCTTTTGTGTTTTCTTTTTAAATTATTATTCTTAGTGAATTCTGATAAGAAACTTGCACGACTCGACGAATCAATTTCAATTGAAAATGTTAATATGAATTCAAATCCACAAAAAAATTCATGTTATCAACGAAATCATTCATATTCTGATGAAGAATCTGAACTAACATTTTATAGTATGAACAATAATAATAAAAATTCTTCAACATCATTTATACAATCTTCAATGTCTGATATTGATATAGCATCATTAACATCAACAATAAATTCTTCATTATCTAGTGAAACTATTATTATTTCTAATCGAAATCAAAAAAGAATATATTGATAAGAAGAGACAAACGAATATTTTTATTTATTCTACATTTATAAGCACAAAAAAAAAAGGGAGGTATCTTTATCGATCTGACGCACACACACACACACATATATAAATGTATATATATAAATGTCCGTATTCATGAGATACATTCACACAAAATTGAGCTTGACAGTATAAAAGAAAGATTCACTAACGAACGTAACAACAACCAGAGATAAGAAAATCGATGTAAAAAAAAAAAAACTCATCAAATTTTTAAGCATAAAATTCTTGCGGTGATTTTGAATAACCATATTGATTTGGATAAAGTAAACCTGTTGTATATGATGAATGAGATTTTTCACGTTTCTGATAACGTTGAATAATACAAATAAGAAGAATAACTGATGTAAATATACCAATAGCTAAACCTATAATCAATTAAAATAAAATAAAACAAAATTTTCTTTTTTTTTTCTTTATTAATTACTTACCAACAAGAATACCAGCTGCAATAGGTGGACGTGTGAGAAATTTAAAAAGTATCCAAATAGGTGCTGTATGATTACCAATTAATGATTGACGAGTTGTTGGTGTTAAATATCGTGTTGTTAAATATGTTTTTGTTGTTGTTGATGTAGATATTTTATTTGTTACTGTAAATTCATTATAATAAGCATCATCTTCAAGATCATCAGCATATTCTTCATTATCATCTTTAAATTCACTTGCATCTAAATCATTAAATGTTGATAATGTTGTTGTACTACTACTAGTTCGATTTTTTTCTTTTCGTTCTTCATAATTCAATTTAGGTTTCATCCATGGTGTTAATAATATTGTAGTAGTTGTTGTAGTTTTAATTGTTGTTGATTTTGTTGTAGTTGAAGTCGTACTACTACTACTACTACTAAAAATGTTAGCAGTAACTTTAGATAATTCTTCTTCTTCTTCATCATCAGCATATTCATCAAGACTTGCAGCACCTCCACTACCTTCAATATTATTTCCTAATAATTTTTGATCATTTAAATCATAATCATAATCAAGTGGATCTTGTTTAAGTAATTTAAGATTATCAGAAGCTTGACCTTTTGAATTGTTTATTACTGTTGTTTGAACAATAATGATAAGAAAAATAGATGTAACCCACAGTCGAATAAACATTATCAACTGATGGTTCAAAATAATAATTAAAAAAGAAAACAAGATTTTTTTTTATGAAAAGTTTTATTTTTCAACTATAGACAAAAAGTCAAATGATAATGATCATATGAGAAAATAAACAAACAATATGACCAGTCACATCTCAAAGGAATTGACCATTGGTCAATTATCTATTAAACCGATCAATTAATTTAAGTCATTTATTAATATTAATCAATCGAATTTTTGATTTTTGATTTTAATTTATTTGTTTTCTAGTAACTAATAGTTTTTTGTTGAACATTTTATAAAAATGTTCAATATGTTCAAAATTAACACAAGATGGCGCTTTTGTTAATCTGTTGAATCATAATTTGATTTTTTTCAATCGAGACAAGGTTATTTCTGGAAAAGAACGGCTTCTAACAGAAATTAGAAATTGTATAGAATTTTCAATATACAACAAAACAAACATTTATATGAACAAAAAGAAATTAAACAATGCATAACTATTTTAGACATTCAATAAACTTCTAGTAACTAAGAGTAAGAGAAAAATTTATACTTCTATAAATATTGTTAAACAAAAAGAAAATAGCATTATAATGATTATTTTTCATCGTGAAAGTTGTGGTGAAGCAGTCGAAAAAATCAAGTATATAAAGATATAACAAGTATATGTCGAGGAGTACTAACACATTTTTGTATTCATTGAGGAAAAGATTTTACGTATGATATGATTTATTTGCATTGTTTTATTATTATTTTTATTTATGTCATCTTTTATATAAATTATATAGTACCAACAAATATGAATAAAAGCGAAAAGAAAAAATCAATAATTTGAAATATACCACGGAAATGTACAAAATTTATTGTGGATTTTTCTTCTTTTTTTTGAATTATTTATTAAATCTCTATCATTCAAGCATTTTGCTTCGTTAGCTGGATATCTAGTCTCTACTGTAAATGACAATCATTTACCAAAAGCATATCAGTGCCCATAGATAAATGAACTAATTCAAACAGATTTCAGTCGTTTTTTCTGAAATTTCTTTTGAAGAATTTTCCTTAGTCTAGAAGATTTTTCTATAAATTAGAGATTCATAGCTATTGCTGAATAGAAGTCATTGATGAAACTTGATGCCAATACTGCAAGCCTCATAACTGGTTGAAATTCTAGTCTGAAACAAATATTTACATCAGAAAAGTTTTGACTGGCTATCTATGATTTCGTCAATTGAAAGTAAAATTTTGATTGATAAATGCACGAATAAGTGTCTAATTTCTCGTATAGAAATGTTAGTTGAATTCTTTGAGATCCCGACGTATAACAAGCCTTAAACTATTGGCATCAAGTTTGTCCGATAACTGCTGCTTAAAATGATAATAATCAAGCAGTACTATCGAATTCTCGTTTTGAATGGTATGATGAAATTAAACTTGCATTAAGTAACAAAAAATAATCAAACAGTTACTTTAGATACTTCAAAGAGAAAACAATTATGTGAAAAAAAATCGAAAGCAATTTAGTCTTTATCATATCTTTATTTTTTATTTTTTCAAACGATATAACAAATTGGAAAAGAAAATTCAACATGCACCATTTGTTCAACATATTGAAGATAATACGTATTGATTGTCTTAATGAACAGATTTTTTGGGTTAAAAAGAACTTCGTTGTTATACTTGAAATTTCTCAAAAATTTAGATGTTCTAGTAATTATTTGAGTTTTTTTTAGATAAATAAATAAATGAAACCAAATGGTAATATCTCTTAATTAAGACTTATCTTTTTCGAATGAATCGACATTTAAACGTTGACTATAAAATTAACTATTTTTTGGTACTTCAAAATGTTAAAAAACCTAATATGAATACCTGGTTTAAACAAGTATGTGTATATGTATAGTTAACTTACTGCTTTCAATGTTTAAATCGAACAATTGTTTCTTTTATATCATTCAAAATTTGTTGAATTAATTTTTTACAGAAGAATGTAGAAAATCAATTTATTTTGCATAAAACATTTATAATTGACTAGATGGTATTCGAGTTTCCCTTGACTGTAAAATCTGGTTCAAAGCTGTCAATGTCGATTCATGGATTAATCATTTTCAGACATGGTAGTGAAAAGGTGTGAATGAGGATATGAAGAGAAAACGTATGTGTACAATACTCTAAACATAAAATTCGAATTCATTATCACTTCTCTTGGTTTTTAACTTTATTTCAATCGATTTAACATCAATATCGATTCATATAACTATTTTCAATTTTTGCTCTTAAGATATAATAAGAACATCTAAACCTTAATGTGTTACTCTTTTTCTTGTTAATTTGAGTGATAATTATAAATTATTGATAAATAAAAAGTTACTTTTTTTTAATAAAATGTTTTCATATCCATAGCAGAGACACACGATAGAGATGTATAGAATGACGATCATCACGACGATTAATATCAATATTATTTGAAAGTTTCAAAAAGCATCTATAAATCAGCGGTATAAAATTTGCTCTCACTACGTGTAATATCTGAGCAAGTAATTCTCTATCAAATGAGACGTTTCTTGGCCAAACCATATCAAATTTAAAGAAAATCTACAGCCACATTTTTTTGTCAAGTCTTTATTTTTCCAATGATCACTAGCGTGAATAAATTACCGTAACAAAAACTAGAGTGTAGCGAATTAATCAATTCACACAACTATTGTTTCCTTATTGAACAGAGATATTGGGTGTTTTTAGTAACTTATCAACATAACTTGAATGTTTGAAATTATGAATTTATTTTCATATTTTATCGACAAATTTTTATGTAGAAAAAATAGAGGATATACGATAAAGTTAAACCTATGAGATTTGTTTATACTTTACGTGTGAATTTCATTTGATATTCTTTGAGTGAAATCAATAAAGAATCTTGATCAACTTGATATTAGTCTTACAACATCTGGAAGTCAATATAACATAACAGAAGAATTTTTTCAACAAAAATAAAAAATGGATTTACAAGTCGAATATGTTCAAATCTTAAATATATTGTATTGATTATTACAAATTTATATGTTTGATTCTTTTTTTTTCATGATAGAATAAAATGAAACAATTTTATTTTATCTTGTAGTAAATCATTTAACAGATTGTAGTAAACTCAATATAATTTTGTTACTATCTGTTGAAAGCTCTAGTATTGTAGAAATTAAATTAATTTTAATATAATTTACTAGATGATTTAGTAAAAAAATAAAATAAAATAATTTCGTTCTATTCGATTATTATATAAAAGTCTTATGAATATATTATTTCTATTCTTTTTTTTTCATTTTAATTTTCTTATTTGTCCTTGTTTAGACACGAAAAACTAGAATCATCTAGTTCATCAATGATTCTTTTTTTTTCTTACTTTTGATTGAATACGAACAAATTGTTTAAATGTTGTAGATCAATTTTTATTCAATGTAGAATATTTTAAATAAAAAACTGTTTTTCAATAATGATAACATTGTATCATGTTGTATTTTGAAATAGATGATTTGTCAATCATCTATTTGAGTGCTGGTCTATCGTGTAAAGAGAATAAGTACATATATAATGAATTGATCGTCGACGAAAACAAAGATGACAATGATCATTTCATCAATTATTGAGTTCATGAGAATCAATTGTTTTCTTTTCGATTATCAATCTTTTAATTGGTGGAGAAAAAAAATAACACTGTAACGTCATTGACTAAAAGTTCATGTCTCAAACATATATAAGGAATGATTTTCTTGTATGAAATCATTCTATTGAAACATAATTATGATAATGAAATTTATACAATCATACGGTACCGTATCATTATTTACGATGTTCCAAATTTGAATGTTAACATG